CATTTAATTATATATAAATTAAATAATTGTCTAATAATACAAATTTTTATCAATCTTGGAATTCTGTAATTAAAATTGAGTAATTTTGAGCTTGTTAGAATTGTCTCACTAAGATAAACATTTTGGTGTTAAATCATCTAAAATAGGCTAATGAATCAAAAGTTATTAAATTTTAAATAATTTATTTAGTGATTCTAAAAAACACTATTAAAATTACACAAAAATTAAATTATTTTAGAACTCTTTAATTAGATTTAATAATTTTAGGCTTGTTAGAATCATCTTATTGAGGTGAGCATTTTGGTAGTTAAATCATTTTAATTGGCCTAGTAGATCTAAAGTTTATTAATTTTAAAAATTAAAATATATGAATAATTTTTAAAAAAAATATTATATAAAATTTGATTGGTTAATAGAATATCATGTGTAGGTGAGTGGAGGTAAAATTTTAAAATTTATTAGTAACCAAAAATTATGTAATTTCTGGAAGCCTCTTAGATATTATTATGTGTTATAATTAGATCTCTATAAGTGCACATTTTCTGGATGAAAAACTTACTTTTTACAACTCTGCAACTTCACAACTAACACCATATTTTATATTTCTTGATATCTTTATTGCTGTTAAAAATTTCATTTTATACTAGTTTGTGCTAAAAATTCTGGTTATTCATATCTATATATATATAATTTTTTCATATTCATGTAATGTATATATCGTACTATTTTAACTTTCTAACTATGTGATGATTAGTATCACATTAGATATTTCTTGTATTACTATAATTAGTAAAACTGTAAGCCAATATTCATCACTTAGTTTAGAACACATCTCTCTAATTAGTGTAATAGCGATTATCAAAAATTTTAAAGCTTTTTAATTATTACTATGTATTGTCTCACCCAAATTAACTTAATATAGAAGATCCTATTTTATGATTAAATTAAACTAAATCTATTTTTTTTAAAAAAAAATTTAAGAGTAGAATAATATTTATTTATTATATATATGCATATATAATAATATATGTTTTATAAACTTTAAATATTTAATCTATTTGTGTATTAACTATTATTGTTAAAGATTCTACCTACTACTGATTTATTTCTTTTAAAAAATATTAAAGTTTCAAATACCTTTAGCTTTAGAGATATTCTTTTATTTGTTATAATATTGCCAGTATTGCTAAAAAGTCTCTTACTGGTGACTGATGTTGCTTGAATAGCAAGTTATTTTCTTGCTAGTTTGAAAAGAATGCAAAAATTTTTTTGTTACTTTTCTATCAGATAAGTGTGTCTTGGTCCTTTAGCATTTCTTGTAATGCTAAATATTTGTTAACTTCATCAGCATTAGGACTAAAAGAACTAAACAAACTTTTAGATTAAAATTGCTAATAAAACATCAAGATGCAAAAGACTTAAGTGTTTGTAAAGGCAAAGAATCTAAAATAATCCATTTGTAAAAAAGTGATTCAAGATATTTTTGCTATACTTGGGTTAGTGGTATACAGGATTTGCTTTTAGTAGGCTTTTTAATTACTGTATTAGGCAAGAGAGTATTTTTAAATATTTGATGCATAGTCACTAAGTGATTAAAACTATTTTCAGTTAGATCTTTTATTATAGTTTTAGAATTATAGTCTTTTCTATTTGATAACTTGTTTATATATATAAACATCCTTCTCTTTAGATTTGGTAATTCTTGATGCTCACCTTACAACCAAACTTAACTAGTTAATCTTAGCTCTCTCTTAGTCTTTTTATTACATTTTTTGTTAGATTATATATGCTGATGAAATAATTTTAGGTTTCAGTATATGAAATTAAAATTTGAAGACAAAAAAAATTGTTTTTGATCTATTTTTACTTAAAAGATGAAATTTTTTGATACTTTTTTTGAAAAGATGAAATTATAAGAAATATAACTACCTAAATTAGATTTGCTATTTCATATAAAAATTCTAAATTGCTCTAATGGAGACAAAATAGAGGTTTTTTGAAAACCTATTTCGATGGCATGTATATGCTGAATTATCTTTGGATAAAGATTCAATAGATTCTTTTAGCAAAAATGCAGATGTAGCTAGAGAATCTGATGAAGATACAGATGCGAATATGGATGAAGAAAATTCTTCTAAAGATGCAGATAAGGATGTAAATAAAAATACAGATATGAACATGGATGAAGAAGATTCTTTTAAAGATATAGATGAGGATGTGGATAAAGAATTAGATTATTCTTATGAAAATACAGTTAAGGACATAGATGAAGAAGTAGTTTCTTTTGATAAAGACACAGATGATAATTTTGGTAAAGAGGTTAATAAATTTATTGGCAATATATATTTAATTAATTACCAAAAAGAAATATTTATATGCTTGACAGTATTTTTGTACTATTTATATTATATAATGATTATATAATTTATTAGATTAATGTAATTATTATATTAAAATTAGTGAGATGTAAAAGAGTCAAAGTTTATAACATTTGAATTAACATGAGAAAGGTAAGTAAATTTACTAGACTCAGATTTTTAGTAGTCCAATGTAATTTAACATATTATTACATATTTATTTCATAATTAGGTTTATAAATAAGTGAAAAGAAATTATGATCAATGATGTAAGGTTATATTTATTGTTTATGCAGCTGATATGATACTAATATTTTTTATTTAATTCTAGAGATTAGAGATGGTATTTGTGAATACCACTGTTAAAAATAAATATGCAAATATTTAATTATATGAACTTTGTAAATATTCAATAAATTATATAAAATTCGAAGATTAGATCATAAATGTGTGTTGCTAAAAGAAAATCTGAAAATTTAAATAGAAGCTATATTTAAATTTTCAGGTTTCTTTTAGTAATATTCAAATAATTTAATCTATTTTGCCATTTTGAATATCTATATAAAAATCAGAATATTCATTTACAAATAATTAAACCATGTAAATATTTATTGAATAGCTATAATGAATATTTAAAGAATATCACCTCTACTGGAGATATAATAGCAATAGTATTATAATATGGGTTTACAATATACTAACAATAGAGCAAATTTTATAAGATTAGAAATGGTATTAGGACTTTTTATTTCTTATATTAATGCTTATTATACATCATACAACAAAATTTTTTAAAATTTGGTTTATCAATATAGACAAATAAAATATATACAACTTTAACACAATTATTCATGGAATATAGTATATATTCTACCTTATTGTTTTATTAAATAAAGATATAATAATAAAAAATCAAATATATATACAAATCTTGAAGATAAACTTTTTTTTTAAATTTTTCAAAAAAAGAAAAAAATTTCTATAGAAGATATAAAGCTTTGTTTTTGTGTATCCTAAGTAAAAACAATCCTACAGTGGTATGTCATCTATATTAATTTTATTATAATAAAACTTCATTTTAATAATAAAATTAAAAAAAACTTATTTTAATAGAAAAATCACGCTATATTTCAATATGATAAAAATTTTGCATTTTATAAGAGCTTAATACTGTAACTAGTGAATTTACAAATGGTCAAAGGAAAGTTAGATCTACTTTAGAAGAAAACTCATACAGAGAACTCTCTAAAATTTCAGATCAGAGAGGCATTTGAATCTTGATCGGCTAGACTAGAAATGATTAACTTTGCTAAAGATTACTAAAAATTTTACTAATGAAATTATAGCTATTTATTAAGTAAAAAATATTCAGCTGATAGTTGTGCTATAGACTGTGCTAATCTGTATTGCTTAATACTGGCTTAGCTCTGATGTCTTCTGATTCAGAATTTTGGAGATCCTTCTATATAAGATTAAAACTTGTATTACCTTTAAATATTACTCTATAGAGACTATTATTGATCACTTTGAGGATTAGATATGTAGTTAGATATTAATATGTGAATTTTTTAATCATATTTGTTTATATATTTCTTTACTAATCATTCTGGTTATTACAAATCTTATATAATAATGTTATACAGGTTTGATTTTTCATAAAATTAGTTTTAAGAAAATTTGAAACAATTTACTAATTTACTGGTACTTTTCTTTTAGTAATACAGTCAAACTTCTCTAAGCACAACTATTCCAAATATAATACCTCTCTAAAAGCAACCTTAAGCTTTAGTTCAAATGCAACTTTTTTATTGTTTTCTAAATGTGTGTTGTCAAACGTTTGGTTCTAATAAGTTGTATTTAGTGAGGCTTAACTAACAATGATTGAGATTTAACATTACAATAATATATGCAAAATATGGGTAATAGGTAATTTCAAAATAAAACCAGACTTCTGGTTTCAAGTTTATTATTAATATTTACTAGACTCAGCTCTAAACGGAAAACACATACCAGGAACAGAGTGATGCAATCATGAAGTGTATGGTTTATATGCTGTTTGAAGCGATATTTGTTCGCAAAATCTTGAATTTAATTAGTCCGCGTGACTTATTCATTATCTGATTTTTATTTCTCATATATATTTTGTCACGCCCCTTATTTTAAGCAAACGTCTAAAAACCAAACCCGACCATGACTATACACATAGCTTTATTTATAAATTTATAATAGATGATATATAAACTATGTTTTTTAGATATAAATATAAGTGACCCGATGCAAATTTTTTTATATATTGGCTGGAACTTTATCTTTTTTTTTTTTTCGTATTTTTTTTGGGGTTGATTAAATGATAATCGATGATTGTCAAAGATACAAACAAAAGAATTTTGAAATATATAGTGATTGCCAAAGAAGCAAACATGAGAATGTGAAATAGCTTGCGTTATGATTGTAACTATGCAGCTATCTAAATTTTATAGATTGTAAGAGGGTATTTAGGACCGGGGTGAAATCACTACTGTTACAGTCACGAGAGAAACTTTAGATCTTCGTAGCCAATTTAGCAAAGAACCATAATCATTAACAAGAAAAGAACTAACTAATTTATTAACACAAAAGGCACCAGAAAGTAAACAAATATTCCTATATAGTGTCCCAGACACTTTTACAATACTAATACACTTATTTTCAAAGCTACTTAGCAAGTTCCAAACTTCTAAGAGCACAACTCAAAACAAACCGAAAGATAAAAATCTACTAAGAACTAAAGTACCTCTCAAAACTAACCCTGCTTACTAACGTTCTATATGTCTACTTTTATACATATAATTAAACTACAAATTGACTATTTACTATTTACAAGTATGTCGTATAACTATATAAAAGTTTAATTAAAGTATGCTCTTTACTATAAACTTTGCTTAGACTATCATAGAGTTACACTATATATTACACATGTTCTACAAACCAAAGTTTAATTCTGAAACTTGGTTGTATCACATATTCCTCCTTTTGAAGGATGAGCTCCACGAATCCCAGCAAGAATCCCAGTTAATGTATGCTATATGCTTCTTCAATGTCTTGTTATGTGGTGATTTTAGCAGTCTACGTATTTCAGAAAAAAATTCGGGTCCATAATGTTTAATGAAAGTTTTTTTTTTTTTTTTTTTTTTTTTTTTTTTTTATATCCTTCAATGCTTCGCTTGAATTTCTTGAATCTTCATCCCGGATCGAATACGAATAGGGCCAAGTCCAAGAAAGTTAAAGCATACCGGTCGATCCTTTTGATGGGTCGGGGTCTATGTAGGTACCGATAGAATTTATCTACAGCCCAAGCAAGGTAAATATACTTCAATCCACCTAAGAAGTAATTTCTTTTGACAGGCTTGGCTAATTGGCTTCCACTTTCATCAACATGACCGTGATCTTGTTCAGCTTTTGAATCCGATTTGAGAATTTCTTTCCTATCCATATCTGCGACTTTGGCGTTTTCATAACACCATCCAAGATCGTATGGTTCATTCGAATTGTTATGAAACTCTTCAGTTGTATTCGTGCTAGACGACTCATACCCATCTTTAACAATTTTATCTTTGGATATTTCATCTGCGCATTCGAGTTCCGGGGCCAGCTTGTTACTTATCGGAGGTAAGTTTTTCTCTTCATTATTCATTCGAATTGTCGTATCGTTATTTTCACTAACTTCATTGTCCATCTCTTTGCTTTTATCAACTTCGGTTATATTTTCGCTCTTTGTATTCGTACAAATTGAATCGTTTCGATCGTTACTCTCGACATCATTATCCATGTACTCTTTAATTCGTTTTATCCTACTTTCTAACTTTTTTTCCAATTCGTCGTTACCATCTTCAAACGTATCTTCTAACAATTTTTCACTTTGACCGCACTTTATATTTTCTTCAACTATTTTATAATCATCCTTCGTTACTCCAATTCCATTATCATAACAACGTTCAAAATCAAACAACTCATCAGCGTTTTCCACAGACTTTATATCATCAATTTCATTTTGAGCACAATCCGTAAGAGCCAAACATTCGTCCGAATTTTGGTGTTCAATCGTTTTCGAATTTTCATTTTTATTAAGGTCCAAATGGCATTCGAGTACTTTGTAATCGTCATTTTGAACTTCAATTGTATTCTTACGGCATGACTCCATTTGGTATTGTCCTTTCAAATTATTGATTTTCTTGGATCGCAAATATCGTCCAAACGGCTTGTACTGGTTTTTGCTGAATTCGCAATAATCGTCGAATGCATTATGCTTACTTTTCTTCACATTCCGAATACAATGATCATCTTCATAATTTTCATAAGCATCAACCATTTCCGTGACTTCATTATAATATGCAGATATCTTTCTTTTCTTCGCTTTCATAGGGAAAGACTCGTAAGGCAGATAGGTTTGGCTTGACAATCCTTCTTGATGTCTATAATCTTTCACCCTAGGCTTCTTTTTATTTTTGTTACCAAGTTCATGATCACATCGTTCTCTCACACTATCGTTATTTCTCACCATACTTGTAACTTTTTGATAACTGATAGGTGCTTTACGTTTATACTTTTCAACATCGATTCCATTTCGATAATAATAATTAGAGTTGTAGGAATCGAGTATTGATGCTTGGTCACTATCGGGTGATATATGCACATCCTTTTCAACTCGAGCTCCATTTTGATCACTATCCGAAAAGTCATGGAGAGCCTGATACTCATTAATTTCAATTCCGATTCCTTTCTTTACAGAGTAAGTCATCCAAGGTGCTTGTAAAGAAGTTACGGTGTTTGCTACTGTTTGATAAGCCAATGCAGATCCTTGTGCAAGCATCGTTTCACACCTTCGGGCTTGATCCATAGCTTCATAAAATGTATTAGGCATAAAGGATCTAACTGCCGATACTAATTCAGGACGAAGACCTTTTACAAACATTTGGATCTTCATTTTTTCTGGATACTGCCTCGTAATAGCCACACGTTCGAACAGGGACATCATATCCATAGCATATTGCTCTATCGTCTCTCCAGGACAATGACGGCGATTTAATAGTTCCGTGTTCCACTGTTTTATTAGGGCTGGTGTGCAAAATGTTTGCCGAAACTGATGCACGAAGCTTTGATCTTTTATTATTTCATTGTCCTAATATCGTATCATAGATTTTTTTCTTTCCCACCACAACGCAGCAGGACCAGACAAATGGGCACTTCCAACTATAAGCTATCTTGTTCCTTGAATATTGTTCGCCTCCAACGCTAGTTTAGTCAACCTTAACCATTCAACGGGATCTTGACTTCCTCCACTAAATTTTGGAATTCTGACATAACCTATTTCACCAAGTGCTTCTTGCGGCTCTTTAGATTGCTCTAACG